GGTTGTAGCTTGCAGTGCTTTTCGACTTCGCTTGATACAAATTCAAGAAAATAAGAGCCCAACGGACTTAATTTAAAATTTTTTTTTTTTAAAAAATTTTTCCATGAGGCTTCTTCCCTGAGTGACTTAGACTTTGTAAATCTCAAATCATCACAACATAAATCACGTTTCTTGAATTAAATTAATGATCCGTAAGAAAAAATTAAATTATTTATTTTATTAATTTTTTCGATTTTTTATTATTATATATTATAATTCTTTTAAAGCTTCATTTGAATTCTTAACTATAATCTAATCTTAATTAGATTACAAAATTATTCTTTAACTGTCATGAGAAATGTTGTAATTATGTATCAAAACATGAAAAATGCCTTTCTCTTTGTTTTATTTTATTTTACTTCTAAAGTAAGTCATGACAGATGATAAAAATAAAATTTAAAGAACTAAAAAATACAAAGAATTTTTTATTATTAAAAGATATAATGAAAAATAACTTTAAATTAAGGTTAGATATCGACATGACATCATTATTTTGTATATAAACATGCAATCAATAATGCAGAGATTAATTGCATGCTAAAACAGCCACCCAAGTAGACTTGGCCCTGTTTGGTGACCTAATTAGACTTGGACTCGGTGAGGATTAAAATCAAATTTTTAGTGAATTTTGATAAAAATTAATGAAATATGTGATTGAAAAATTGGGGACCTTATTAAATATATGGTTAAAATTAGTTGTTGATCTTGATTTAAATCAAAATCTCCCAAACTAGGGCTAAACCTGTCCATATTTTGCCCCAGTTTCATCAAGTTTAAAATCAATTTTCTAGTAAATTTTGATAAATTTAATAAAACGTGTAATTAAAAAGATATGGGTTTCATGACTCAAAATTTTAATATGATTTTAATCTACATCAAAACTGACATTATATTATTATAATTGTTGAGTTCGTTTTATTTATTTAATCCATCGACTTTATTGTAATTAATTAGAATTTTTTATCATTCATTCAGTCGCATATTATTCAATAATCACGATATTACTACTTTCCCCGTCAAGACAATATTTATAAAATAGTCAAAGCTGAAAAGATTTCTCTCCAAATTGACATATTTTCTATTTTCTTTGAAGATCAATTGAGAGAGTCAAGGTCTTATTTAGGCCTCTCTCTATCAAATCATTGAGAAAAGTCTTGACATCGATGCTAGGTTTAGAATCCAAAGTGAATTTACTTTCACCTGTCTTTTGTAAGTCAAATCCTTTGAAAATTGAAATAATATTTCCAACCAACACACAACCAACGGGGGAGCAAAGCTAAGAATCCAAAGTGTATTTACCTCCTTTACCTACATGTAAGGATTTCTTTGAAATTGAAAGAGCATCCCTCGTAAATGGCCTTGGAAATGTACTTGGAGTGGAAATTCTTGAAATTTAAAGAGCATCCCTCAAGATTAAAAGCCTCAACCACCAAAAAGACTAAAGGCCTCGACTCAACCTCCAAACATACACAAAGACCTTTGTGCGAAAATTTTGACAAAATCAACATGGATTCAACCCATAAAACCAATGCATGCATGCACACAATGAATTTCTTGACAAGTGTCACAAAAGGACACGCCTCAACAAAACCTTAAATATTGTACCTAATTATAACTTTCAATACAATGAAGAGGGAACGTCAACTCAAAAAATGAACAATAGCTCCTAAGGAGTCTATAAATACGATCATTTATACAACTAAAAAAGGGGGATTAAAACCTAACATCCAACTTTCCACTCTCGAAAGGGCCTCGTATACAAAGAAAAATAAGAGTCGACACTCAATTCAACACATTCTTAGATCAAGAAGAACCTTCTAGCTAAAGTAATATCGAAATTATACTAGGTTGATACATATAAAAAAATCATTAGAAATTATTTTTAGCTTGAAATTTTTGTTTTTACAATATCAAATTTAATTGGGCTCCGCCCTCGCCAGTACCAGCATTCAGCAAACTAAGCAGGGTCAGCTAGATCACTTGATTTGGCTTACTGTGCATGTAGATTCATCATAGCGATTGTATCAGATGCGACATTCTTATCCTTAATTTTCAATTAATTAGGACATATTAAATCTAATTATGATTTCCATCCAAAATTTTTATTAATCAATTAAAGGTTTTGATAATAAAACTTCGATTAAAAAAAAAAAGGAACATAAATGTGATAATAAGTAAATGTTAAAAGCCTTTAATTCAATTAACTTGTGATACATCTACACCAAAATAATAATAATAATAATAATAATAATAATAATAATAATAATAAAATAATTGTGATATAAATATAATAACTCTTTTATGAATCCCAATTTCCTGAAAAGTTCTTGAACTACTTGTAGTGTCCTTTGTTTGCAATCCTTCATTAAAACCCTTAAAAGTTGGAACATATTTTGTTTTCTCCTCTCCTAAGCCACCAAAATTATTGTCATTTGAATCGAAATGAAGATTCGTTCTTTTCCATAATATAATCACCACTGAGATAGAAATAAATAAATAAATAAAAATCAAACTCTTTATTGCATTCTTTGTAGAAAAATATGAGGACTGCCATAGATTTCACATGAATCAACCTTCCAATCAGAATTAACAGAATAAAAAAGGTGTGTACAAGAACATCTGTACAACAATTTGTACAGCAGTCCTTCATGACTATTGCTCCATTGATTCCATCCTTGGGGTTCCCCACGACAACCTTGTCCATGCAGTCAGACTTGTAATTAACACCATCTTCTCGCAGATCTCGTTTAGCCACAATGCACATGCCACGGTCATCACCTTGTGCCTCTAGCCCACCTGTTGTGCCAAGCCTTGAGCTATTTGGGAACAACTCCACTACGTGTACAGAAAACGATTGACAGAATCTATACAGATAAGATACAGTTGGAGGGATTTTTTTTAGCACTATTTTATTCACATGGAGCCCACTCCCAATGTGAGAGATCTTTATCATTTCTGTCAAACCCATTTCTGCACAATCCAATTTGCCCATCTGGGAAATTTGGACGAGTTTATCTCTAGGGTCCCCATTCATATTCTTGTTGAATTTAGGCCCCCAACTGTCTTCTTGGTTGCATGTAAGGACAGATGGAAAGAAATCATTCAATATTCTATGGAACAGTCATTGAACGAGACTTGATCCATTTTTCCAGTGGTATTATTATTTAACCAAAATTTAATTACACAAACTAATCAATCAAAATCGACATTTAATTTTTGAGAAGTTTTTCTATATATCAAATATATTGACACTACATTTTTAATATTTCAGAATTTTAAAGTACATATTTCCTTAAATATTGACGTAGTTTTAATTTATTTCAACATATATGCTTTCTGTATCGAACATTACTATAAATTTCATTCTCACCTACAATCATCCAATCATTCTCTTTTTAATTTTATTTTATCTTTACATTTACTTTTTAGTTTTTATGAATTAAACTTCTTAAGCTTTTCCTTTCACACACACACATTATTTATTTATTTATTTCTAATGGAAAATGTAATTAGAACAATAAATTGTATAACGTTTAACCATGAAACGTTACAAACTTGATAAGATAATTTGACTAAAATTTGAAATTTTATTTTAAAAATAATTGGACTACTATATAAAACCTTAAAAGTTAATAAATGTTTCTTGATAATATTATAATTGAAGATTTATCCAAATGTTGAAACCAAAACAATTGGTAAACATTTTGTATTTAAAATTTTCATTTATTTATTTATAAAAACTTTTCTTGAATGTGGTTGGTTAAGCACAAAAGCAATTCTTTTCTCAAATGAAGTTTGAGTTATCTAATCACTTGATTTATATCCTTATACGGTTGAAAACATGGAATAAACACATAAAAATGAGTCCACATCTGTTACTACAATTTAACTCTCATGACATTCTTCGTTATGTAATCAAGTCGGGACATCAAGGGACTAAGAATATGTTCTCGACCTAATCGGATTTCTCTTTAAATGAATAAAAATTAATTAACTAAAATATAAATGAAGGTATTTTAATCTTATCCAACTTCGCTTTCTAAAAGTTCTGGACAGAATGAAGATGATAACGATTATTTGAGCCTGAACCCTCCCCTCTTGGACAAAATAAGTAATGTTACTCGTAGTTATCAACGATAGTAAGCGTATTATGTGACAGCTTATTATTTAAGACTTCGATTTTCTATAATTCTGTTACCTTAAACAACAAATTAATACCTTAAATAATCAAATGTCACATAGGATAATTACTGCAGTTGTTGACTATTAGAGCTTGTTTGGTATAGCTATTGATTCAATTAAAATCAATTTTTTGGCCGTTATTTCAGTATTTCAATCGTCATTTTTTAAAATCTTCTTTCACATGTAGGATCCATTTTATCTCTAACAGTCAAAAAATCAATTATCAAAATCTCTACCAAACAAACACTTAATAACTTTTCTCATTTTAAACTCGATAAAAAGCGAGCAATTAGGGATCTAGTCAATGCCATTTCACCACGTTCCTTTCCCCTGTATATAAAGACAGAAGTGAAGGGTTTTGCTATTTGTCTCGAGATTAGATTCAGGGTCGGGCCACCTCGACCCTTGATTTGAAATTTTTTCCCTTCCTTGAACCCCCTCGAGGCCACCTCGGCCCGACCTTGGATCTAATCCCATCCCCGAACCCCCAAATTTTTGCAGCGGATGAATATATATGTATCGAAAATGGGTTATCGAATTGGTGCCCTACTCTCACATGCGCACGGCCTCGCGTGCATTTAAAAATTCCGAATTGTGGGACTTATCCTCCAATTATGAGTGTAGATAAAAAATTCGATAAAAATATATAAGTAAATGTAGTAATGTCCTTTTGCAGTAGCACCCTAGAAGTGAATCGTCGGGGGCAATTTTGGTAAATTCAATCACACTCTTATACGCTTAAAATCGTCCTGTCACCCCCTCTCGATATATATATACCCTTCACTTCTCCTCTACATCTCTTTGGATTTGGAGATAGAAAGAAAAACAAGAATCACACACCCAATAAACCTGCAACATCTATACCAAAGTGAATATGTTGAACGAGATGGAGATGAAAAGAGGAAGAAGAAGAATGGACTTTACCAGCGAGGAAATGGGCTGCTGGAAAAAATTAAAGGGCACGCCGAAATCCGCCGAAGATTCTGATTTATTCGATGCCTTGCCTGATGATATTGTCCTCTGTATTCTCTGTAAACTCAGCTCCACTGCTTCCTGCCCTGCAGATTTCATCAGCTTTTTGATAACGTAAGCACTTGTTCTTCTTTTTCTGTTTCAAACGAAAAGAAATGATTTGTCTGTGCTATTTATGGGATTCGGTCTAAAGTTTGTTGATTTTTCAATGAATAGATGCAAAAGATTTAATGGGTTAGGACTCCATTCATTAGTGTTATCCAAAGCTTGTGAGGAAATGATTTCAGTCAAAGCTAAGAACTGGTCTGAGTCAGCTCACCGATTCCTCAAACTATGTGCCGATTCTGGGAATGCAGAAGCATGTTACACTCTCGGCATGGTAAATATATTTGTTTTAGAAATAATTTTATCAAAATGTGATAACTGATAAGGATATTTCAATCACTGTGATTTATTGAACACAGATTCGATTCTACTGTTTGCAAAACCGAGGGAGCGGCGCGTCTTTAATGGCGAAGGCCGCGATTAGTTCTTACGAGCCGGCGATTTATTCACTCGCTGTTATTCAGTTCAACGGAAGCGGCGGCTCGAAAAATGACAAGAACCTAAGAGCTGGTGTTTCACTCTGCGCGCGCGCAGCTTTCTTGGGCCATATCAACGCGCTTAGAGAGCTCGGCCACTGCCTGCAAGACGGTTATGGAGTGAGGCAGAACATCGCCAAGGGGCGCCGTTTCCTCATCCAAGCCAACACGAAGGAGCTAGCCGCAGTTTTGGCCACGGAGACTCCGTCGGCTCAGAACGCTGGTTCGTGGCTTACGTGGAATCCCCTGCTTCACCATCGCTACGTGTCAGTCGCCGGATGGACGTTTTTGAGTGACTTTGGGTATAATGTTCCGGTGCCGGAGACTCATCCAGCGAACCGGTTTTTATCCGATTGGTTCTCTGATTGTGAAGGAAGTCCTGGTCCGGGGCTCCGGTTGTGTTCCCATTCGGGTTGTGGGAGGCCCGAGACTAGGAGACATGAGTTTCGGCGGTGCTCTGTATGCGGAGCAGCGAATTATTGCTCTCGTGCTTGTCAGGCGCTGGATTGGAAGCTCCGTCACAAGGCGGAGTGCGCCACCGTGGAGAGGTGGCTCGATGACGGCGGCGAAATTGAAGCTAACGGGATTGACATCAATGTTGACGTCAATGGGAATGCTGAGGCGATGGAGAGTTGACGGTAACGGGCAGTTGAGTTTTTGAAAATTAGGGTTGAAAATGAAAATTGAGGGCAAATTTTGGGGACCAAAATTGAATTTTATCTTTTGTTGTTGTCAATGTTTTTGTATAGAATCAATTCCCCTTTTTGCACAGCTCAATTTTTTCCATATGAGATGGCTTTATTATGGTCTCTGTTCAGGATGACCAAATCATATGGGAAGTTTCATTTTGCTGCTCTTTTTTTTTTTTTTTTAATAATATATTGGCGATTAATTCTTGATTTTGTTTACGATTTTGAAAAATATTAATCATTAATTATGTTGTACGAGATTAAGACCTTATTTAGATGTTAAAAATGAAACTTGACCAGGTTAACGATTAAGATTCAGGTATAATCTGAATGAAATTCAAAAAAATAAATTCGTAATCAAATCCTCGTCTAATGTCCATCCATATACTTGCATAGTCTCATGCACTTGTCATGGACATTTGTTTATTCAATCCTACCTAACTTTATTCAATATGATATAATTGATACGGTTTATTGAAAAGAACTAAAGAAAAAAATACGTGCAAAAAGACTATAATTTATGACACCGACTACCGTATATGATAGAGTAGTGAAAGAGAGAGCATCTCACGGTGGAAGTGCACTTATTCTTTCTTTTATCATTATCATTATATACTATCCCAACCAAAACCGAAGTATTCAAATGTGGTGAGAAAAATTGAATGTAAGGGTGGTCCAAATCAGGTCCATTTAAAGCCATCTTCAGCAGTTCAACTAATTCTGGTTGAGAATGTGAGGACGTCACTAAACTGGGTGAAATAGAATATGACATTTTATTTCCAATTTGTGAAGGTTTTCTGTATTTTAGGTTAAAATCAATATTAAAAATGTACAAGAATAAGGTACAACTCGTGCAGCTGCATTGATGCTATCGCAATTAAAAATGTGAAATTAAATTTGACCTACTTGCGTGACTAGGCATAATCAATATTTATGGAGGTTTTTTTTATTTTTGCCATGTGATTTGTTGGATTTGAGATAATGGGATTGCGATTTTGGAAAGAGTCTTTCTTTTCTTTTCTTTGCTTTGCATTTAAATTTGATTTAAGTGGCCTAGAGAAAATCATGTGTGACACAATTTGTCACTTGTGATATTCATCATCACAAAATATCAAGGATCAAGGTCGATCAGTAAGACACAATGGTTGAGCGGGAGATAACTTTGAATTTCGGGTACGACCCATAAATGATTTTAGGGATAAAGGTACGTGAACGACCATTTGGTCCCTATGAAAATCTTCATCGAATACATTTACAAGTTGGCAGCCACTGAAACTGAACTTGGTATCGAACTCCAAATTCTGGAATTTCGAATCATTAGAACATTTGTGCCACTTAGACGGGATGTAATATGAGCCATGAATCAGTTGCTACAGTTCAACAGCGAAATTCTTGCTGAATTGCACTAGTCAAATTTTGAATAATCCTCTTTCACTTGACGCATCGTTTGGAAATGGAAATTTCTTATTATTTTAAAGATCACGAGGCACCAAATTTCCCACATTTTTCATTGAAATTACCCACTTTTCCGTACTAAAAGACCGAAATCCAAGTTGAACTGCTACATATGCTGACAGCTACGGCCGAATAGTCTAATTATTACTCCAGTTCGATCTTTTAAAGAGATCCTCAATTGCTCTCTGAGAAGCATATTTTATATATTTGAATATAAAAATATAAATGTTTAATATTTCTTTTGAACAATTATATTTGTTTATTAAATAAAATTCGATGAATAGATGTGAAATTGAAAGAAAGAAGCAAAAAATGGCAAAATCCAAAGTTTGGAGATTAAAGTGCAAATAGTCAAAAGATGTATTGGACCTCATGATGAAATTTCGAGAATGTTAGAGGTCAATTGAAGGCAAATAAAAATCAAAAGGAGTGAAACATGACCAAAATATTTTCACAAATTAATTTTCAACTATACAAGGATGTTCCAGATTTTCAATCGAAGTTTAAGACCCATTTTGGCCTAGTAAACGTTCAAATTAGAAAAGATCTATTTCTAAAATTTTTTTAGTCCTTTGAGTTATCTTTACAATCCAATTTGAATTGCGTCAATCAGATATCAAGAGATAAAGTTATGATAAAAATATTAAAAGAATAACAGTGCTAAAATTTTTCCCAAGAGATGTGCCTAAGCGCTCAGTGGCGCCTAGGTGCCTTCTGATGCTAATTAGGGCATGATTTTGACCTTTATAAAGCCCATAAAAACCCGACAATACCAAAAAAAAGTGAGGGAAACTATAAATAAAAGAAAGTGGGCAATTGATAGGAATTGCACACATTGAGAGACACAAAATAAAACTTGAAATTTGAGAAAATCAAAAGGGGAGAAAAACACATAATCATCAAGATCCAATAGCAAAAACTAGGATTTGAAGACTTTTGAGGTTGAAGAAGTTTTTGGTGCAAGATCCAATTCTTTCCAAAATCAAGATTTCAAAACGTAGTTACAAATTCTATACTTTTTGTTTTTCTTTCATTATTATGAGTAACTAAATTTTATATTAGGGAAAACAATGTAATTTACTTGATACCCTTTGTTTTCTTTTATTCAAGATTCTTATTATTTTTCTCTTACATGTGTTGATTTTGCTATGAGTTTAATGCATTGAATTACTTGATCACCAATTTGATATTTTGTGAGTTTTTTACGAATCGATAGGTGAGTTTGAGATTTAGATCATATAGTTAAATCCGATAAATTAGTATAACATGTAGAGACAAATATATCAATTATTGCAATTATTTTATGAGTTCTTAGAACTAATATCTCATTAAACTAAGATTAATTTCCAAAGAGATATGGAAATAAATTAGTTAGATAGGTTTAATGAGAACCCGAGATGAGTAAATTGAATACAATATCGAGCACTACATTAGGTTATGAATCTTGAATTAAGATTTAAAGGTTATCAATAAATGAAATTGTTAAGCCCTAATATCTATTTACATATTTGTAACACTAAATTGAGTTTTGTGTTCATCCACTTATTTTCAATTAGGTATATCAAAAATCACAATACATCACAATTCTATGTTTATTTTCATCAAATAGAAATTAGAAATAATAAATTAAGCATTAAAGTATAACCCTCGTGGGAATGATATTCCAGATTAAAAGGTTCACTATAATACTTGTTACGACATCGTACATTTGTGATAGAAAAAACGAAACACTTTCGAATCATTTGGATTTCATAACAAACTAAGGTGAGAGAATACCTCAAAAACCTCCTCATTTGCCCCAGTGATGCTGCTGCTGATTTTCCTTTCTAGCCTCATAGCTAGCTACCTTCCATAATGGATCAAGAAGCTTGTCCTCACCCCCCCCCCCCCC